GTCAAACATGTCCGCTTTAAAACTTGTTTCCGCGACGGAGGAAAATCGTATTTAAGCTTCCGCGAATTGGGTCGCGGTTCGGTTTTTACCTCGCTAAAATATATCTATATATAATAAAACACCGCGAAGTAAGACCTAAACAAGCTGCGAACGTTGAACACTTTAAACTTGTTTAAATCGCATAATTCTGAGTGGATTAACCATACTTGGTAATGCTAAATAGGTACACGAAAACCCTCCCAGCACGGAAACTTCCTCTCGCGAAATGCGGCTCGGCAACATCTTTTAATATAGACAGTTTCCATAAGCGTATGTAAAATTAAATTGAAATTTGACTGAGTCTTCAGTACTCTTTTTTAAAGGCAAGACCAGAAAAAAATCCCTAAGTAATATTTTTTGCATCTTTCCGCCTGTTGAATTTTCAAAAAAAATCAAAAGATGTTGATTAACGCGCGCGCGCGCGCAGTTAACTTCTAATAGCGTAAGATTACATCTCCCTCCGCATAAACCAACGATCCTTGCCGCGCCATTGCCCGAGCCCCCCCTCCCCTTCCCTCCCAAGGGGGAAATTTAAAGCGGACGCGAATATCCGAAAATTCCAATTCTCACTATGAATACAAATGTCCGATGGGGACCCCCTCCTCCTCCCCCTCCCCCCCCCCCCGCCGCCTACGTAATATCGCGCTTATCTCGCTCGCTCGTTCGCTCGTATCGTAAGTCGTCGGTGTGTGGCGAGCTTTAAAAGCCCGGCACTCGCCGGGAAAGTGGTGCCGCTCTGAATCACCGGCGATATTCCTTTCTGATCGATGCGCTCGCGACGATGCGGCGCCTGCAGGCCGTCCTTACTTTCAAACGAGCGCGGCCCGGCACGAAGCGAGCGCATCGCCGGCATCGCCACGATGGCGGACGATGGATGGAGGCGCACGATGGATGCGGAGAAAACCGGAGTCGCGTTAGCGATCGCGGTCGATCGGGAAACGGTGATCGGCGGATAGTTTTTATGCGGAAGTAGAGCGGACGAGGTGGAGCGTCGATCCGGGCGAGATCGGGAATCGAAAATCGAGACGCGCAGCGCCCGTTAAGGTCGCCTCGAAATTTTAAGTTTGTTCCCATGCATCGGGCTGCAACATTCTCCTATCTCGCTGTTCGTTGTAGCTGCTTCAAATATATATTAATTCACGAGTTCGGCTACAAAAAAGAAAAAAGAAAAAAAAAAAACAGATCATTTATCATTTGATGCGAAACGTATAGGGTCTTATGGGATATCTAATTAATATCTTCAATCAGATTAAGGCAGGATTAAGACTGTACTGGGACATTGACGGGGGCAAGAAAATTTGCGAGAATAAAATGGCAAATGGTCCGTGCAAATGCAACTCTGAAAGGTGAAATTAGCTAAAATTAAAAGTGCACGATGATATGTGTTAAAAGGAGAATAATGTAATTGAATATGTTAAATATGATGTAATGTAATTGTAACGAAGAAGGCGAGCAGAAATGTTGGAAATAATGATAGAAGAGAATAGGTGACATATTAAATTTGCCGCTAAGCATTTACGATCCCAGTTTTCCATAATGGATTTCTAGTGTAGCGGATTTAATAGACATTTTGATACCGCAATGACGTCAGTATTGTTCCGCCCGTCAAAATGCAAGAGAAAACGCGTCAGCTAGGATATAATAAACTTCTGGAACGCACGTATGTTCATAAATATTGACAGCCAGCCGACATAATTATTAATTACCTCGTAATTACTCGCGCATTTCATTAGGGCCGCATTTGCTTTGTGCAGCTGGAATGTGACAAGCGGCTTTTAAGCTTGTTGCATGCATTAAAATAATTCAACAACGTATTATGCGAATTAATGTTTCGATATAATATAATAATAACATGCTATACTTATATATGTGTAAGGTTATAATTTTGTAATCCATGATACGGTTGCAAATAATTAAAGTTAAAACAAATTAAATTAAAGCGGTCAATTGTAAAAAAAAATACATTATGAATTATAAAATAATCGAATAAATGCAATTTGTTTGCATTAATAATCGGATCTTTAATCGAATCAAGCACAAATTTCTATATCAATTCGAAATTACATCCAGTACAAGTTTCTCAAGCAGAATTGTCGTCTCCAAATGTTTTATTATTAACAATTTGTTTTTATTTATTATTCATTTTCCATCTAATCACATTCCATCGCATGCATCTCTTTTTTCGTGAAACGAATATATCACGTGAAATGGCGCTACTGAATAAACATAGCGTAATATATCTGACAAATCAGCTATTTGGTATTTGAATCATCAAAATGATTTTAATTATCATAGTATCGCGAATATAAAGTGCAATCAAACTACGGTGCCATGTGTTTCATCGTCATATGTTACCATTCGTCCATAATGATATATTTATAATAACAACTATTCCATATTTCTTTAATCTCTTCTCCGTTAGAGTGAATCAAGAACAAATTAGTTCTGATTAATTTCATGAAATTATCATTATATAATGGAAAGCATAAATAAAATAAAAATAGACACGCATATTGATTTACTTATGCACATAATGAAGAATTAAAACCGGATAATAGACTTGTCTATTATTAGCGTAATAATCATTCTAACACAAGTCGTAAAAAAAAAAAAAGAGATTTAATACGACGAAACGAAATAAAAGACAGATTATACATTCTCTTTCTTTTTTTCTAGAATTTTTCATTTCTAATGTTTCAAATTAAATCAGGATAAAATCACAAATAAAATGCTCTCCCCGAATTTTGGTGCTCAGATGATGTAAAATACGAAAAATTATCAAGGCCTGCGACATACAACAATCCGCTCTCACAATCTTTTTTCGATTATCGAATCGAAGAGATCTCAAAATCGAATGTCTCAAAAGAAACATCTGAGTTCCTCACGTGAATCGCGATTGCATATATGCCGTCGCGAATATTAAATTGACCTCCCCGAGATCTATCTACAAAACCTCGCCTCGAAGATTGGTTCCAGCTGAGCTTTTCTTACAGATCCCAGCTCTAAGCTACTGGTATAGGACCAATAAAATATATTCAATTTAGAGATTGATAATATATAAAATCATGTCTGCCTGATGAGCATACGGCCAGTGTACCATAAAAATCAAATCTGCTGAAACACATAATTTTTCGTTTTCGTACGCATCTTACGCGGATCAAATGTGGATTAAAGCGCGTTTCGGCCAATTCAAAATGTGCTAAATTCATTAGACAGACGAAGATGGGGAAAGCGGGATAATGTGGCACATAATTACGGACATAATCGTGTCCGACGTCGCCGTTTACGATACACAGAGAGGGAGGATTTCGGACGGAACGTGAGACGGACGGACTCGTCGAACGGAAAACTCGCATTAATCCATGGCATTATGCACTTCCCATTTTCCGCCGTCGCCGTTGCCCCTCTCTCTCCCCGTTGATCCCGTTCCCCCTCACTATCCGCTTTTCGCTTCATTTCGCCGACTCGCGTTATGATATGGCGATACTTACCGTGATGGCGTACGGCCAAGGCGAGGGGGGAGGCCGGCCATTTGCTCGATGTGCCGATGCGCTACGACACCGGACATCGGTGGCACGAAAAGCGATCGTACATTTCCGTTTTTAATGCTAAATCTAAAAGAAGAAAGATCCGCCCGCTTAACTCACGTGATTAAATTCCGCGAATTGGATGATTTATCTCGCGTCTCCTCCTCCAGTTCATTCGGTAAGTGGAAAGGGTCGTTTTCGACAAGAACCAAGGACAAATTTTACCGCTTTTAAGATTACGTCGTTTGTCGTGACTTATCGACTTATTTATTTATTATCTCGCGTTAATTATTATAGAAACTGATTTTGTCATTCATTAAATTCCAAACAGAGCACATTTTATTAAGAATTTTGAGAAATACCATTCGCCTAATTATCTCGTTATTACATCGTCATAATATAATTTTCTGTAATGCCAAACACATGTAAAATGTGTTTAAAACAAATAAATATTTTTAAATGTTCATTGTGTTGTTTATTTATTAACAATTTTATTAATTGATTATTATTAACAATTTTAAAATCTCTTAAGTTATTTGCTTAAGTTTTCTCATTTGCTTGTAATCATGATGAATGATAGTTAATTAAATAAAAATAATTAATGAGTCTATTTTTATGGTTTTTGTTGTATTAAATATAATATTAATGTAAATTCTCTTTAAATATAGGATCACACTTTAAATTTTAATAGTATTCATCATAGTTATATCTTTGTTTCCAGATAGCCAAATCAATCTCAGATTTTACAGAATGTTTACTACAAGCTTTATTTTTTTCAATAATTTTGCAACTTTGAATAAAATTATAAAATAAAATTATAAAATTTGTTTAGAGACTCTAATCATTCTGTGAAATTGTAGCTTGCTATATGTATACGAAGAATGAAATCTAGATAAATAGCTAAATATAAATTTGTGTGTGTGTGTGTGTGTGTGTGTGTGTGTGTGTGTGTGTGTCTAAATATATATATATATAATAAAAACTCCACAAACCAAAAATTTAATCAAATTTAATTTAATTATAAGCCAATTGACTTAAATATATATTACTGGAATTAATAATTATAATTTCTTAATGTTAGGATTAGTATAAAACATCAATTTGTTCTTCAAATCAAAGGTCTAATAAAAATATATACCTCAAAAAATGACTGAAGAGTATTTCACTAAATTCTTATTTCTTCGCCAGTTTTAATAGCAGAAAGATGACGGTATTCTATAGCTTGAAGAGTAACAAAATTGTTTAAAAATCGACGAGATTGCGTGAAAATTCCACTTTTTTTATTTTTGCAAGAAAAGATTAATTATTCACGAAATGATAGAATTAATACCTCATTCATCTTCAATACAGTATTTAATAATATAAAAGATTTAGATCAGAATTTGTTTAACGAATTACCGTACAAGTGGCGCCCTCTGATGGAGAAAGCGCGAGACTGCGCAGAATTTGTGATCAGTTGAGTGGTTAATTGTTGCGCCATGGGAAGAATGTAACAATCGCTTAACCTAAAAATTCACAGAGTGCTATTCGAGCGTGGTGCAAACGGTCGGTGTCTAGTCCAAGAAAGGGAGATGAGCGATGCCGAGCTCCAGGAAGAGGAAAGAGAAGTTTTACTCTCGATATACGATGGCGATCCGGCTTTCAAGCAGTTGACACCCACGACGTTTCAATACAAGGTACGAGGATAGCGTACCTTTAACTTTCATAGGATTTTTTTATCTTGTATCTTCTTATATCTTCATCATTCTTCTTATTTTCATATCTTCATTACGATTGAGCTCCTACTTGAATTTTTTCCTTGAAATCTCTATTTGAAATAATTTAACATAAATTACACTACATAAGTAACACTATCGAAAATGTTTGTAAAGTAACTGCCCAATTTGGAGTATGCGGAAAATATCTCCTTGATAGCCTCACATTGTGTATTATTTATTTTTATATTATCGTAACATTTGTACAACATTTGTTTCAAGTATAAAGGAAAAAAAGTTTTAATCATTAACAAACGTCTTTCATTCGCACGTCAAACAGTATTTGTGTCAAGACAAATTATGTATTGATCATATGATAGTATTTTTTTTAAACAGTATGGGGAGGATAACGATATGAAATCATTTCTACTGGAAATTTCATGGGGGACAACGTATCCTACGGAAAAACCGACCATCAATATGAATACATTTTACAATAAACATATGTAAGTGCAGTCAAGCGGCCGCTCGACTATTCTTAGGCATTCGATTACTTTGATTAAAGATGAATAATTGGAATATACAGTGTGCAAGAAGTAAAGGACAAGGTGGTGAGTCATATAGAGGCAGAGGCTGAGCAGTGGTTAGGTAGCGCTATGACATATACGTTATTTCAATCTGTCCAAGAACATTATACAGACTTAGTGTTCATGCAACCAGATTCAATCACTGATATAAATTCACATACTAGTAAAGTGAAGATTACAGAAGAGAATCAACAGGTACATTCATTACATAAAATGATTGATTTATCATTATCAAAAATATTGTTATAAATACAATTATATGTAATGTTTCTAAGATCGAGGAAACGATAAGGAAACCGAAGAAAGAACATTTGAGTAAAGCCCAGAAGCGTAGACAGTGGAATAAAGCAGACGGTAAAGGTGAAAGGCAACGAGGATGGAACTGGGTAGACATTGTAAAACATCTATCACAGACAGGACCTAGATCGGAAGAGGATTCATAGTTTAAGATCACACCATTTTGTACATTGACATTGTAAGAGACGTGTTATATTTTTATAAATTGTTGGAAATAAAATCATTTCCTTATCTATTTCCCAAAATGGCTTTATTCTCATTGCCAGATCATTATTATTGTTTTCTGATTATAGTCAAGCAGAAGAAATATTCTTTTAATAAAGAATAATTAACAATTGCAAATATGATTGCTTCTTAGCAGTTGATCCTTCCCATTATAATTCATATAATAATCTCTATTATTTACTTTTTTCTGTAGAAAATCTCCATGCATCAACTGCCAATAAATTCGTCCCTGTTTTCCATCCTAAAATTATTAATTATGTATTATATTTTAATATTATTATATTTTAATATTATATAATTGATTTAATAAAATTACATACCATTCGCTTCTAAACTACTAAGGAACACTTTATATTCATTAGAGACGATTACATCTGTAGCACAGACACTTTGAATAGCTATTGATAGCTGTACGTTGCTATTTGAATGGGTAAATATCTTGTGTAGGATATATGCATTCAATAACGGATACGATATTTCAAATGTTTCAGATTTCAATAATATGTCCTATGTAAGATCACAATATAATTATAGTATAAAAAGCATTAATGAAAAAAATTATAAAAAGAGCTTCATTACTTACTATTGGTATTTTTCTTGCTATACAAATATAGAAAGCACACATGGAAGCATAAAAATATGCTTCCAGTATTTCAGTCGACTGTACATCCTTCTTCAGTATTATAAATATATTTCTTTTTTCGATATCTATTGTTATTATGTATTTTCTGTCTTCAAAGAATTTTAATAAAAATTCCATTTCTGTAGATGAAATCACATTTCTTCTCAAAACTTTTGCGAACGACATGCCAATTTTTATATCAAAACCACATATATTTTTGGCTGGAAATAATATTCAGAGATCGTTAAAAATTTTTTATGTAATAAATATAAATAATTATGTAAAACAATATCTTACTAGGATTTTTAAATAGAAGTACCGATTCTTCTTTATTCACTTTTCGTGGCTCAGGAATTTGTTCAGTCGTCATATAATTTTTAACAATTATAGCCAGACGATCTTCATTGAATGTATCTAAACACAATGCTTTAACTGCTGAATAATTTGCATAGAGATGGACTGCCACCAGGAAGAGATACAATTGTAATAAATATCTATATGTATATCACTTCATCATTATTAATATTTATATTTATAACGACCATCAGATACAATAAATAACATAGGATACATACTGTCCATCATGGAATAAGGATAATATAAAGATTCCAAAGAATGATGCTATTAGATTTACACATGTCTCTTGACTTCCATCCTTTGCAGAGACATCCGCAACGTTATTTTGTATTGCCTATAACAAGAAAATAAAGTAAACTCGGCATAAAGATTAAATGCTTGTATAAATAATTATTCACCTGGTGATGAATCAATGCTATTCTTGTAGCTCCACCAGCAACACCAACAATAGACTTCATAGTGGTTGAGAGACACAGAATTGCAACGGAATACGAAGAGAAGTATGGCACAAGTAATTCTATCCCTTTGGCTACGTCATCCAAAATATCGGCAAACAATCTCCATTTTTTGCATTGTCCATCTAATTTTGTACTGTAATAAGAAGAAACAAAATCTCATTATTAAGCATTACAAGACGAAAACTTATAATAAGCATTCTTAACTAAAGAATACCCATTCTTATTTTCTCTTTACCCATTCCACCATGCGAACATTATGCTTCCAATCATTCCAGTGCCACTCTTCAGGATCCACGTTATCGCTGCCGCCAAAGGTGTGGCATTTGACTCGCCAACTCCTATTCCTTTCATAATAGAATGAGTTGTTAGCGTACCTGTTATAGTACTCGCAAAGGCCTATGAAACGTTAATTTATTATTCCTTGTAAGTCACTTTATCCGTGATATAAAAGGAAGCATCTATTATTATGGCATAAAAATTTACATTGATGCACATTACAACAAACATATGAAGCACATATGGCTTACCAAGGATGGACTTAAACCAACTAACCTGCACCGTGTCCCATATCTGATAAGCCGTGTAATCGGGATGCACGCTGTCTGGATATCCCTGCGGCAGGAATATCTGTTTGAGGATCGACGCGATCCGGAAATGAAAGGCCTGCGACTCGGTAGATCCCGGTAGTTTCGTCTCGTTCGCGGTGAAGCCATCTAGCCAACAGGTGTCAAGCGCGATCGGTGTGAGGTTAAGATGCGATTGTCGCACGATTGTACACGCTGAGGATGATCTGATCGATTGTTATCGAGGATGAATGACTTTACCTTCTGACTTCACGTAAACTGTCTCTCTCTCGGTCCCGTAGCTTTCGTGAAACAGAACGCGCATGTTCGCACGGAGAGAACGCTACTGCACAGACTGCTCGCCACGTTCATCGATGTGTGTGTGTGTGTGTGTGTGTGTGTGTGTGTGTGTTGTGACATATGTCAGCTGTTGATTTAGGTTTAAATACCATGGATGACTTCGATCATAAACAGTTAATTTAATCGGCAATTAATTCAACTGATTTATTGACAGCGACGTTTTTGCTTGTCTAATTTGTTAATTTTATTTTGTGT